AGTTGCTGTAGGAGGCCGCAAATGTGGAGCCTTCGTAGACATCGGCTCCACGCGAAATTACATAAATCGCGACTGTTTGGAAAGGCTGCACCTAGAGGACCGGGTACAACACCTTAGTAGACCGGTAGCATCTACTTTGGCCAATAAAGAGCGCATGGTTGTCACAGACTATGTCAAGGATGTAGTCTGTACCTTCTCCTATGGAGGAGGGGAACTTGATCATAAGATTTCGTTCCTGGTTAGCGACGACTTACCATTCGATATGTTGTTAGGAATGTACTACCTTGAGATTGCCAAGCCCCAGTTTGACTGGGACAAGAAGGTGCTCAAGCATAAGTTGCCTGATGGAAGGACCGTGAGACTGGCCAAGTATAAGGCTAGTAGGTTACTGGAATCCTATGGCTGCTTGTGCGCATCAGCATTCTACAATTACTATAAACAGAACCAAGAGGAGGGTATGTACCTAGTGTATGTCTTTGAGAAAGTGGAGGCAGTTAAAACACCCCCAGAGATAGAACACATCGTTGCTAAGTTCCCTGATCTGTTCAAAGAGCCCACATGAGTCGTAGATAGGGAGATTGTCCACGCCATAGAAATCGTTCCAGGGAGTAAAACCCCAAAGGGAAGGATCTATAGGATGGCTCCGGCCGAGTTGGACGAACTTCAGCGACAACTGAAAGAGTTGACAGAAAAGGGTTGGATACGACCGAGTACTTCCCCCTTCGGATCTCCAGTGCTGTTTGTACCGAAGAAGGGGGGATCGTTGAGGATGTGCATTGATTATAGAGGCCTCAATGCCATCACAGTGAAGAACATAGAGCCTCTACCTCGCATAGACGACCTATTGGATAGGGTGCAGGGATGTAAGTACTACAGCAAGATAGACTTAAAGTCCGACTACCATCAAATTGCCATAAGACCTGAGGATCAACACAAAACCACATTTCAGACCAGATACGGTCTGTACGAGTTTGTGGTGGTGCCCTTTGGCCTTTGCAATGCGCCGGGTACATTCCAGCATGCCATGAATAGGATCTTTCATGACTACTTAGATAAGTTTGTCGTCGTATACCTTGATGATATTCTTATCTTTAGTAAGTCTGTCGAGGAGCATGCACAACACTTAGAAACTGTACTCTCACTCCTGCGACAACACAAGTATAAGGTCAACCTAGAAAAATGTGAGTTCGGATGCACTAGGATCTTGTACTTGGGTCATGAGGTATTCGCAGAAGGGATTAGGCCGGAAGATGCGAAAGTGGCTAGTATTAGGGACTGGCCACGACCTCAGACTGTTACTGAGGTCAGATCTTTCTTAGGGATGTGCGGCTACTATAGGAACTTTGTGAAAAACTATTTCACGGTTGCCTCTTCTTTGACTGATCTAACTCGACTTGATACGCCGTGGGACTGGAGTGACGAGTGCGAGGCTGATTTCAAACGATTGAAGCATGCACTCATGAATCATGAGGTTCTCATGGTGCCCGATCCTTAGAATCCTTTCATTGTGATCACTGACGCAAGCCAGTACGGCATTGGCGCAGTGCTGGCTTAGCAGGATGGGAAAAAGTTGAGACCGATTGAGTACATGAGCAAGAAAATGCCATAAAAGAAACTGGCAAAGTCCACCTACGAAAGGGAACTCTATGCCCTTTACAAGGCACTTGTCCATTGAAGGCACTTTCTGTTGGGACGGTTTTTCTATTTGAGAACTGACCATCAGACCCTTAAATGGATCAAGACTCAACCTGCTCTTGCTGATGCACTCAAGCGCTGGATTGAGGTCGTAGATCAGTATGACTTCAAGCTAGAGTATCCGAAGGGAGAGTACAACAAGGTTGCAGATGCGCTGTCACGTAGGGCAAACTACCTAGGGGCGCCAGTTTTCGAGTTTGGCGTATCTGAGGAAGTAACTCAATCGTTGGTGGGAGCCTATCAGGAAGACCCTGTCACGATGGACATCATACACAAACTGCAGGCGAAAGATAAGGCCACAGAAGATGAGTTTGTGATGGTGGATTGGTTACTCTTTCTGAGAAAGGCTGGGATTGAAAGATTAGTTGTTCCATCTAGTGAGAACTTGCGTAGTTTATTTCTAGGAGAATGCCATGACTCAACTGGACATTTTGGCTACAAAAAGACCAGTGCCAATCTAGTACAACGATTTTGGTGGCCCGGAATGCTAGGTGATGCAAAGAAATATGTGGAGACCTGTCAGGTCTGTCAGCGGGACAAGCCGCGAACTCTAGCACCGCTTGGGTTGCTGAAGCCCTTACCTATCCCCACTGGTCCGGGACAGAGTGTTTCCATGGATTTCATGGACACCCTGGTAACCAGTAGGAGTGGCAAGAGGCACATCTTTGTCATTAAAGACCGATTCACCAAGTATGCTAGACTAATTGCCATGCCAGAGACGGCGAGGACTGAACACGTCATTAAGTTGTTTATGGATAACTGGGTGCGTGATTTTGGACTGCCAAAGTCAATCGTTAGTGACAGAGATGTCCGCTTTACAAGTGAACTGTGGAAGAAGACTGCTGAGCAATTGGGCAATTAACTTCAGATGATCTTCGGGAATCATCCGGAAGCCAACGGACAGGCCGAGCAGATGAACAGAGTTGTACAACACCTGCTGAGGCATTACATCAAGCCCAGCCAGGATGATTGGGATGAGAAATTGCCTCTCATCGCAAGCCTGTACAACAACGCTGTACACAGCAGTACCGGTGTCAGTCCTGACCAGCTACACTTGAGGTGGAAGCCTAGATCAGCGCTGGACTTCCTCCTGCCTGAAAACTGACCTTCTGCAACTCCGAGCACACTAGAGTATGGTGTGCAGTATGAGAAGTTGCTACAGCAAGCTGTCGAGCACATCAAGAAATCTCAGGAACCAATTATTGCTTCTGAGAACAAACATCGTCGACAGTCCACATTTCAGGTAGGGGAACGTGTTTGGGTCAAGGCTAGCGAGCTAGGACAGGAATTCGGTATCTCTCGAAAACTAATGCCTCAGTATTTTGGTCCCTGGGAAGTCCTGGACATAGTTGGGGATGATTTGGATGGTCCTTCCTATGTTATCCGTATCCCTGGTCACATGCGCACTCACCCTGTGTTTCATGCCTCAAAGCTTGCACCTTTCGCTGAGACAGATCAATTTTCCTTCAAGGAGATCAATGCTGCCCCCAACCATGGATGGCCACGTGGACATCGACGACATTCTGGAACACAGAGACATGCCTGTTCCCAGACCTCTTGGCAGAGGAAGACCTCCAAAACCCAAGAGAGAATACAGAGTCAGATTCAGGCATCACATAGATCCGAAAGAAGATCAATGGTACACGAGAGAGGAACTGATTGAAACAGCACCTCAGGTGGTAGCTGAATATGAAAGACAGCTAAAGGGGAAGGCACCTGCGAAGTAAGCATCTCAGCGGACTTTCGAAGCTAAGGGGGATGGAATGTGAGGATTGAGCCCTCAACGGGGCCTTGCCGACATGCATATGTTCTGGTCATAGGCCCCCAGCAAGCCTCGTGCCCGCCCTAAGTGAAGGCGGGCCAGAATATCCACAAAGAGGCCTTCATTCAGCATTTCCCAAAGTGGGTATCAGACAGTTGCCGCACGCCAGCCTCCGACTCCTGCAGAGGCAGTTGAGCCTAGGGCCGGGGTTGGTTGAGCCCTGGGCGACAGTCTGGGAGGCCGACACATCACACATTGGTCCCTGGCCTTTGGAAAAGCAGTATTTCGTCGTAGAGGCCGAGGAAGCCAATGGGAAACCGGTACGGGGTCTGAATCTGGACAACAGCCCTAGCATAAGGGGCGCAACTGTATTACCTGGGCCCCATCTGCATTGGGCCTTGGTACAGGTACTGGGGCCCAGGCGCAGACTCAAGGCTGGCCGCCCCCAGGCGCAGACTCAAGGCTGGCCGCCCACACACAACACTGGCATATAGGCAGAGCAGGCGGGTGGGCGAGGATCTTGGCCATTGCGAGCATGGGCGGCACGCTGTTGCATTGCGAGGGTGCTGCGCTGCGCTAGGCTGAGAGAAGGCAGGTTGGCGCTAAGCGGTAGGGCGCAGCCTGGGCGCTGGCAGCCATAGCCAGGCTGCATGAGGGCGCTGGAGGAGGTGAGGGCGAAGGTGGTTCTTCGGGAGGTGAAGGGCGCTGTGTGGGATAACAAGGGAGAGTGAGGGACAAGAGAGAGTGACATACCTGGGGGAAGAGGAGGTCGGCATTGGTGTTGACATCATCACTAGCTGGTCGTCAAGTCGTCTAGTTGCTTCCATGACTGTAGTTGTAGGATAAGCTGTAGAGTAGATAGGGCGCCTGGCGCCATTCAAGAGAGGGCTACTTCAGGTTATGTTGTTGGTGTTGCCCGATTGGGCCTGGACATTGACTCACGACTTTTGGTGTATCGTTCTGAAATGGATGTTTGCTTGGTTCCAATGTGTTATCTGCTCTTGCTTTGACTACTCGGACTTCAGTGTGATTTGCAATTGGGATTTCTTTGCTTCGTCCACATTCATGTTCCT